GGATATACTAAAGTTAAAATATTATTAACACATTCCCCTTTAAATGCAATTTAACAAATTTCTAAGTTGTTATTCAAGAAACACCCTCATCTATTTTCTTTGCTCTTCAGATATTTCTTTAATTCCTTCCACCAGGTCCCAAAAAGAAAGAGGAATAGAAGGAAAGAGAAGAAACGAAGGAGGAACAGGGAAAGAAGGAGAAGAGGAGGACTAGGAGGAGAAACAAGTAAAAGGAAAATCTGTTTTTTAACACTCTTCAAAAACCAAATTGCACATGGGAAGTAAATATCTCCTATAGATTGCAGGAACTACTGAAGCAGATATCACTAGACACACACATCCTACATCCATGAGCTCCCTTCATTACTATATATGTACCCAAATGTAGGCAATGTGCTGACATGTCCATATTTTTATTATCAAAGATGCTATTTTAAACAGTCTGCGCAAGGACATGATGATCAGAATTGTTATTTTTTGTATAATCATGGCTTTTTTATTTAAGATACCCTTTTTTCCTATGTTTTAAGAAATCTTTTTGACTTATGGTTCACGTGTTGCCTAGAATCAAAGGTTATTCAAACAAAACCAGCTCAAACGTGGTATTACTGCATAGTTGGAAGAAGAAATTTCAGGTTACTTATATGCAATTTAAGTTCTGAAATGGACTACATAGGGCTATGATAATGAGCCCATTACTGAAAGGAGCACTTTGGCAAAGTGTATAAACCTATATGATATTATACATCTGCACTATGCACACACATCATCTTTATCTCCCCAAATACCATGTGCCATTTTCATTTAAGAATATTTAAGGATTAAAGATTTAAAAAAAAACTTTCATCTTAAATATATCCTTTCACCAATACTGTAAAATTATTGAATTGACAAAGTATGGAATATAGATGTAATTGAACAGTCTTGTAATGGTTCATATTAGTTCCCTGTAAATGATTACAAAGCCGTATTTTTATCTAAAAATAAAGAAAATCTGGAGAACAAAGGCTATACTCGATATATATTCTCTTATATAATAGTAAATAAAAACCTGCATCTCATTAATTAATATGTATTGAGTGAGATAGTCTTTATTTATATCCCAAATGGAAAAGTTTGCCTGCAGTTCTCAACTAACTTAAGATTTATTCTCCATGGATTCTTACAGACACAAGATATGGAAAAATCATAAATGACATTAGCACATATCTTTTATGAGGATGCAAAACTAGCATTTTTCATATACCATAAAAATGCACATATAAATAACCCACCAGGCAAATTTCAATGCAAATCTATGTATCATTTGTCACTGAATAAAATTAATTTCTGTGTCTAGCACAAGGAGAGTCAGTATATCTTTGAAATGGTACAAGGTTCTCTAAATTTGAAATTCATGGGGAGAATAAGCACATACTTCTAAAAAGGATAACAAATAGAAATCATTGAATCCTGGAAAAGTAAGAAAGCCTCGAGACCCTACAAACCTACCCCCTCATTATACATGTGAACACCCAGTCCCAGTGTGCTGAAATAGCCTAGAGGGCAGTGTTGTCTACATCCCAAATTTTCAACAATCCCCATGGAGTGGCTGTCATCATTCGGAAGTAAACCAAAGGCGATCCAATGTCAAATGTATGACTTACATACTAATTCAGTAAGCATCCATGGTTCCCTTTGCTTTTGACATAGTGGATGCTAAATATAAAAACTAGTTTCACACACACAAAAATTTAATATTACCTTTTCAACTCCTCAACCCTGGGCATTTTTCACCACATGACTATGAATTTTGCTGCACAATTATGGCCCAGACACAAATTACCCACTTATACCATAACGTTAAATCAGAACAAAGGTCCTAGGTGTATCTGGGTGGGGGGGTGGGCATGGAAGGAAAGAAGGGAAAGAGGGAAAGGAGGGAGGGAAGCTAACATGGGAGAGAGAGAAGGAAGGAGAGAAATGATGTCTTGCTACTGCTGTTCCAGCAAGCTGGTTAATTGCATTTGTTTCACATATCTTCAAACACCCTGGTACATTAATTACATTCTGTAACACCAAGCTCTTCTGATTCCCTCTGTCACTTCCACTGAGCAATTTAATTGTATTCCTCCTAGCTACCCACTGATTCAAAAAAGGAAAAACTTGGTGGTAATTCTGTAGTCTAATATATAGTTTATACATGTATTTCCGGTATTGATATGTAAATTCACAGCTTATGAGGACCTATTATCCAAAAAGTTATATCAAAGTCTTCTTATCATGATAATCAAAACACTTGGGACAAATATGTAAACCTTTTGTTATGGTAATGTAAACATATTGCAAAGGTAAATGTATTGAAGAAGAAAATGGTGAATGACTAGATAGGATCATAGATATCGCCACAATATAATTCACAGTGATTAATTCCTATACATCTACTACTTACAAGAGAAAAAAGAAAGAAGGGGTGTGCCCACATGAATGCCTTGCCAGTATCGCTAGGGGGGCATTGGTACTCATGTAGTCTCGCATTGAAAACAGCCACTTGACAGTAGGTAAACTCATCTGTATTGCTTCATGTTTACAGAGAATCTTCCCTTTTGAGTCCCATACATTGGGCTCTGTGCAGCAGTAGCAGCTGCCAAGAACAAAGTTAGCTCCTACAGGCGGGCAAAAATAGGCAGTGTCCCAAATAATGACTGTGTCCACAATGCAAATGCTGGAGGAAAGTTTATGTAGCAACAAGCTACTACAATGGCTCAAGTATTCAGACCAATACACCTCAGATTCTTTACAAGTACAGTAATTAAAAATCTAAGTACCGCAAGCCACATATAACAGGCAAAAATACCATGCTCTAGTCTTCCCTTTAAGACCAGCTCTTTCCATTGATGTAAACATTAAAGTCTCTAGAAGGTTCGTACTAAATGTTCTTTTGACTGTCTTCTTTGGAACAAACAAACAAAAAAACACGTTAATGATTACTTCCACTCATCCTTCAAAAGAGCTACAAAAAAGGATTTTGCAATCCTCCCACAAGAAACTGACATCCTGTGAAATATCCCAGGAAACAAAATCCAAACAAAAGACAGGAGAATCAGAGGCAGAATGCTGTCTGCTTGACAAACTGACTTAACCTAGAGGGAGACACCTACAGCACCTGTTTCAGATCCCCATTGTGTTTGCCACTGGGGACTGAGCTGAGTGTTCGGTGCCTGCAGCCAGCCTACAGCTTCTGCTTCCCTTTCTGGAGCCTCGCCCAGTCTTACTTTTGACAGTTTTTTCCCTATGATCTAAATTCTTCATTCTGATTTCACTCTAGGAGAGCACTCATCAGCACGCAGGTGATACACATTGATCTCTGAGATACCCAGTCTCAAATTCCCAACCCATTGTACCTTCACTGAGGTGTCTATTACTTCCCTTGAATTCCTAAGCCAAGGAAAGTTCAGACACAAGAACAAACCCCAAATGGAGAGCAAGCCCAAGAGTTCTAGACTCGTTCAAGAGGTTTACTTTCAAATTTATTTTTCTAACAAAACTGAGAGCCCATTATTTGTTATCCAGCTCCTCAACTAATTATGTAAATTAAACAATAGGTGACTCCTAACACGTCCCACTTACAGTAGTTCAGAAACAAAAGACTTAAAACCTCTGCCCCCCAAAAGCCCCCATGCCTGGCAAAAAGGGACCAACAGACATAATATCATTTTATTTATAGCCCACATCCAAAGCAGAAAGAAATGTTTTTTGGAGGGAAAACAGGATAAAAGCATTTTAACTTACCATCAACCCGAATATATAAAAATCCACAGAGCAGTAGTTGTGTAAACATCAGCCGACTCATTTTGACATATTAAAAAGGATCCAGATTGTTTAAGAAACCAATCCCAGAGAGTAAAAGTACAAAAATAAGTATCAAAAAAAAAAGAGGTAGGTCCAAAGTTTAGACTTTCCTAGCTGCTAATTAAAGTCAAGAAGAGCAAATGGCAAGATCAGAAGAGGTTAGTGGAGAGGTCTTGAATGGGGCACATTTAGATCCATCCGAATTAACAGAGGGCACTCCAAAGGCTGCTGTATTTCCACTCTGGATTCCTAAATTCCCACGAATTCAGCCCAGCCGGAGGGATTATTCAAGTGTGTCTAACCCTCTCTCCTCAGGCTCCATGGCAATCCAAAGCCAAGTTCTTTCTTCATAAGTCAAGAAAGGAAGAAAAAGACCTAATTCCTAGAAAGTGTTCCACAAACTTGCCAGCGCGCTGCCGAAAAAACATTGGCCTGCCTACTGGTTTTCTTTCCCTTGGTCTCCGTCTCGGTAGCAGCTCCACGTCCAGAGTTTTTTCACTTAACTTCCATAATAAGGATGTGTCAAAGGAACACTTTGCAGGCGGGCCGACTTGGCGGGCCTCTCCTTTGCAACCTCGTTGCCTCCCTCCACCTCTCTCGTTTCCAAAAGAGAGGCAAAAGGGAAATCGGGACGAATCGGGTGGAGAATCCCAA